GACGTGTGCTCTTCCGATCTCCCCAAAACCCCAAAACCCCATAATATAGGAATGATGGTTATATATGATTGGAGAAATTAATTATTTCTGAGAAGTAGACATAATCATATTACTAATTAATATACCAGAAACAGAAATATAGTTAACATGGAAGAATAAACAAAAACAGTAATAAAATAGTACTCCAAAGAAGTCATAGCAGAAGCAAGTGAGCTCTTAAAGCAGGGTAAACTTGTAGCTTTCCCTACTGAGACAGTTTATGGTCTTGGAGCTAATGCTTTGGATGCAGATGCATGCTAGCTTATATTCAAGTCTAAGGAAAGACCTCTCACTGACCCACTTATAGTACATGTCCATTCACTAGAATAGTCTTTGACACTTCTAGATTAATCCTATCAAGAAGTAGTAGTGCTTTTTAAGTAATTAGCTGGCAGATATTGGCCAGGGCCATTAACAATGGTAGTGAAAGCAAATTTAGAATTAATACCAAATATGATAACAGCTGAGACAGGTTTTGTCGGACTGAGAATGCCTAATCATGAGATAGCCCTTGATTTATTAAGAACAAGTCAATTACCGATTGCTGCTCCAAGCGCAAATAAATTTGGTCATGTATCTCCAACCAAGGCTGAGCATGTGTACAATGATTTTTATAAGGACTCTGAAGTATTCATTATAGATGGAGGCTAATGTTCTTTTGGAATAGAATCCACTGTTTTGAAAATTAGTTATGACCAGGAATAGAGCTCTCCATATAAATTGAAGATATTAAGAAGAGGTGGAGTAAGTGAATAACATTTAAGACAAAGTTTAGAGGAGCTAGGCTATTCAGGATAATATGTATTGGAATCTGTTTAAAACAAACATTACGTTGAGGAAACTGAAAACCTTGAGGCACCTGGCTAATTCCTCCGACATTACTCTCCTGATATAGACTCCTACTTATTCTCACAATACAAAGAGGCATCTACACTTGAATTTGGAGAGTGTGTGATGCTTGATTTTGGTTAGCTGTTCTTGAGTCTCAGAGATAAAGTAAAGTACTATCATGATCTTTCATAAGAGGGTGATTATGTAGAAGCAATCAATGTTATATATGATAAGTTAAGATGGGCAGAAACATAAAAGGATGCTAAATTTGTTTTAATAACAAATTTCTACGAAATATATGGAAATGATAAAGGTAAAGGTATTGAACATAGAGAGGCTCTATTTGATAGAATCTTTAGAGCAACTAGTGGCAAGCAAATCCTATGAAGCAACGAGATTATATAAAATGAATTTATGATTGTATATAAACACTAATTTATGAATCGATATCTCTATACTCTACATTTTATTTTAAATATGCTTGATGGGGTTTTGGGGTTTTGGGGTTTTGGGGAGATCGGAAGAGCGTCGT